CACGGTAGTAGAGGTGGAGTTGCCATAGCAGTAAAGACAACAATACCATACAGGAGACTGCCATACAGACAGTCAGTAATAGAGAACGTTGGCGTTGAGCTTCCTGATGGTTTGTTGATTTACTGTGGGTACTCTACTGCTAGACACTTACAGGCCACAGATGTGGATCCATTTTACTCAAACACCAATAGGGTGTTGCTTATGGGAGACCTAAACGCTTGTCATCCATACTTTAATCACCCTGGATAGAAAAACGCAGCTGGCACTTTTCTTGCCAACTACGTTCGCGACAATGGCCTACTTGTTATGCCCACAAATTCTCCAACTCACTATCCAAGCAATGGAAGGAATCCATCCTTCCTTGACTTTGGAATTGCCAAAGGACTCACCAATCTCACGGAGATGGTGGTAGTAGACGCCCTCAGCAGTGATCATTTACCCATTTACCTTGAAATCAAGAATAGAAAGCGTACAAATACTAACGACTTTCGATACTCGTATGAAAATTTCGATTTTCGCGAATATCGAAAGAGACTACAAAACTAGACGTGTATTCCGGGCCAGGTCGATACTGTCGAAGCTTTAGAGCTTGCAGTAAAAGGTCGGACCAGAAATATACAACGGACACAACAAGCTTTAGCCAGAAAAGTGCCTAATAGGCCTCAGCGTGACAACCTGCCGATCGCATAATGGCAGCTAAGCTTGCACGAGACATTCAAAGCGAAATTTCCGCTTACCGAAATTTCACCTGGGCGGAAAAAATGCGAAACGTAACTCCCCGTGATAATTCTTTGTGGAAACTGTCGAAAAGCCTCCGAAAAGCCTATGAGCACGTCCCCGTTCTTGAAAAAGAGGGTAGGAGTTACATATCCACCAGTGACAAGTGTGAGCCTCTCGCAGACTTTTTGGCAGATGTGCACAAAGTCCAACCAACCCCTCAGGATAACGAGATAGAAATACCGACCGCTGTTTTTGTAGAACGGAAGTATCCTATCCCCCCCTCGATTTTGCACTCCTATATTGCAACCCCGTCGGAAATACAATCGTGTCTTCGGCGTCTCCCTGGCCGAAAAGCCCCTGGATCAGACGGCATCCCATATCTACTCCTTAAAAATTTGCCGCGGAAAACTATTGTATTAATAGTACAAATAGTCAATGCAATCCTGAAACTACAGCATTTCCCACAGGACTGGAAAAGCGCTGAAATAATTCCAATTTTAAAGCCGGGCAAAAACCCGGCTGATCCTGCCTTTTACAGGCCGATTTCCCTCGTAAAGACCCTCGGCAAATTAACTGAGAAGGTTATTCTTTCGAGGTTGCAAGCGGCA